AGCTAATATGTATGGCTAATATTAAACAGCAAATGTGCTGACTGGTTGTGTATTTTGTTCAAATGTAGCCCGAAAGCATAGAAATATTGTACCTAATAGTGAGTGAGTGAGTGAGTGAATTTGGTTTAACACCGCTTTCAACAGTATTCCAGTTATATCGCGGCCTGTCAGCCTAATGTGGGAGGAAAGCCCGAAGTGATGCAGGTCTCAGACGTTTACCACTTCGGTGAAACCCACGAGCACGGGTATGGTGCTGACAAACCTAGAAACATAATCGGGGCAAACCGGGATTCGAACCCACAATCATAGGTTTCTGGCGTGCCCAAGGGACGCAACTCTGCACAGCGAATACGTGCAGTATACACCCAAAGGAATTGGGCTCAGAACTATTCAGCACATCCTCGTATAGATGTTACTTTGATAAACAAACATAACTGTGAGTGAGTGAGTGAGTATGGTTTTACGCCGCTTTTAGCAATATTCCAGCAATATCACGGCGGGGGACACCAGAAATTGGCTTCACACATTGTACCCATGTCGGGAATCGAACCCGGATTTTCGGCGTGACGAGCGAACGCTTTAACCACTAGGCTACCCGACCGCCCCTACATAACTGTGTGTGTCATAAAATGATACATGGTACTATTTGTTAAAATGACAATCGAATATGGGACAAAATGACCAGTTTTTTTGCATTTTCACCAAATACACACTGTCGGAGTATATGTTATAACCTGGCGCTGTTCGAACGTAAACTCATCCCACAGTTATATAAATAAAAGCGACAAAACCCATTCTATAATCACACGAAAAGCTAACCAAAGTTATTGGTAGAGCAAGGCAAGAGGTGAATTACAAATTCATTGTTGTGTCCCCGTAGCTTTCACCTCAACGTCTCTAGTTAACATATTACCATGTGCTTAAATTTAATGACAGTTTGTGTTACAAAGCGTGAAAGAGAGTGACGTCCCGTAAGGAATACCTAACACATAATATATATTTGAGCAGTTTATTTCACGTTGGCGTCGTCAACCGAAAACTATAACCAAGTCCCTGAACTACCATTACCCTTGAAGGTCCATAAAAGACACGTTCAGAATTCTTCGACGTCAACAACAGAGGACACAGGGAATTTTAGCCGAAGTCCTGTACACTTATTTTCCATCTGTCAACGATGTCCTGGCCATTTTAATTATAAACATCCGCACTTGCATTCAACTTGAATGGTTCAGTTTGAGGTGAGGTGAAATGGGGTTTAACGTCGCGTCCAAGATTATTGCACCTATATAGCGACGTGCATGTACGTGTGTGTGTTTGTGTGGCTGCTTGTACTAGTCCGGACTGATGCCGATTTATAGTGCTAACTCACTGAGATAACATGCCGCAGTTTAACATGAATACCCCACTCAGACACAGTATACTGACTCCGAGCCGACCAGTCCTTGTTTTAGCCCCAGACAGTGTAACAACAAGTACCATCTTTTAACGTTTTTTGGTATGACTCGGCCGGGTATCGAACCCCGGACCTTCCGCTCTCCGGGCGGACGCTCTACCACTAGACCACGGATGCGGTGGTTCAGTTTGAATGGCGTTTCAACGAGATACTGGTCTACGTGATACATTGCACCGTTTGGCATGGATCTCGCAAACAAGCTATTTCAGGTCTCTATACAGAGCTGACATTACAGAGTTGGAATATATGGGTACTGAAAGTTTATTTAGCTGGAATATTAGTAACGTATTCGGGGATTAATGGTGCATCTCCCTTTCAGCAAACGTGCAAATGACCACCTGCTTTCGGCACAATCGCAGCCGTAGGACGACCTAGACATCGCCAGATGCAAGACAAGATAATTAGAGTTAATGGTCACTTTGGTCTGTAGATAATGCCAGTGTCAAGATTCCGTCACATTTCTGTAACGCCCCAACTGTTTCTGATCATGACACCAGCACGCCTATTGTTTGAGAACTTTAATAATCATATTTAAAATGGCAGTATAGTGTGCACTAAGTGTGTCTAATCATTTTCATTCCATTTTAGAACAATACTTGCGATAGGATATAGCATAATGTTGGATTCTTCTTTAAGAGTTGAAGGTAAGGCAGTATTACCCCTGCGAGGTTGTACCTACATTGACTGCTCAGGAACCTATCCCTTAGTCGACAACGTGTTGTGGTAGCGGGCATTCATGTTTTGTTTGTTTCTTTGTTTGTTTGTTGTTTAACGCCGCAATCAGCAATATTCCAGCAATATGACGGGAGTCTGGACCAGACAGTCCAGTGATTGACATCATCAGCATCGATCCATACAACTGGGATACGATTATATGCATCAAACCAAGGCAGCGAACCTGACCACCCGATCCCGTTAGTCGCCTCTTTCGACAAGCCTGGTCGTTTTTACGGCAAGCTTGGGTTGCTGAAGACCTATTCTACCCCGGATCTTCACGGGACGTCAGGACAGATATCACGGAACACAGTAATTAAGAGATAGCACAGAACACAGTAATTAAGAAAAAGGAAACATCCCTTTAACATTTTGTTTGTATAAGATAATTCGAAACTTATCCTGTGCGATCTTTAAGAACAATGACGTAATCAGGACTCCAACATCACTTCTCACATTTCAGAATGATGTATAAAGTCTCATCTAGATTTCCGCGATAGTAATAACTCGCCAGGGAGTCACTATCGAACGCACGAAGACTTAAACAATCTAAAGCGTTAAAATATATCCCCGCGGTTGAATACAAGAAAAATATTACAAAATAACTCCATACTCTGTGCTAACACTGCGCAGCATTTATTTCCTATATTTAATAAATAGATAAGATGTCACCTCATTAGGCCCGATCTGCGTCTCATGCGAATTGAAACCATCAAAATATAACACTTTTTTGCTGGGAGATATATCTGAAGCCACACATTTGAAAAACACCGAGCAAAAACGTCAGTGACAGATTCTCATCCATTAAGACGAGGTCATGATCATACCAGATAAAACAATTGTATGCATCCAATGCCTGTGCCAGATCCAACTCTGGGGACTGTCTTGTGTGATGCCATACGTCTTGTTTTCAGTGTATGTCACAGCAGTATTCTGGATATATAAATCTGATACGGTACACAATGCTGACAGGCATTTTCGTCAGGCGTGATTAATGTTCACGCTGCAATCATCCTTCTTCTGGGTTCTTGGCCCGAATGGACTGCTGAGTACAGAGATCGGCGCATACACACAGTGCATTGATATCACAAGCTATGTAAGTGTACTTTACATTCACGTCGTTTCAAAACTAATCATCAACAATCGATTTCTATATTGAGGCAGGAGAAAGCATGGAACGATATTAATTTTATCCACTTCGGTAGAGAGGGTAATTAAACCATCAAGATAAAAACCTATCATATCTAAAGCCTGGTTAGAGGAAGGAGAGTTTTCACTCTGCAAATGCCCAGGTTTGACAACCAACATAGATAGATAGATAGATAGATAGATAGATAGATAGATAGATAGATAGGCAACCAACATAGATAGATAGATAGATAGAGTGAATGAGTGAGTGAAGAGTGAGTGAGTGAGTGAGTGAGTGAGTGAGTGCCGCTTTTAGCAATATTCAAGCAATATCACGGCGGGGGACACCAGAAATGGGCTTCACACATTGTACCCATGTCGGGAATCGGACCCGGGCCTTCGGCGTGACGAGCTAACGCTTTAACCACTAGGCTACCCGACCGCCCCGATAGATAGAAAGATAGATAGATAGATAGATAGAGGTTTTACGCCGCTTTTAGCAATATTCCAGCAATATCACGGCGAGTTACACCAGAAATGGTCTTCACACATTGTACCCGTGTCGGGAATCGAACCCAGGTCTTCGGCGTGGCGAGCGAACGATTTAACAACAGGGCTACCCGACCGTCCCCCAACATGGATAGAATTGCGCAGTCCATCTCTGGTATCCCCAGTCGTCCTGTTACTGACGCATTGCTGCAAGAAACATTAAACCCAACTCACTCACTCAACACGAAGGCTCTGTCACATGACCACATCTGTGTGAGAGTTGTTTTTTGCGCTGTTATCAAACAATACAATTTATCCCTGTATAAATTTAACATATTATTGTCTATCACCATTCCTGTTAAAATAAGAAACAGGACCCGTGAAGATTCCGGGGTAGAATAGGTCTTCAGCAACCCATGCTTGCCTTAAAAGGCGACTATGCTTGTCGTAAAAGGCGACTAACGGGATCGGGTGGTCAGGCTCGCTGACTTGGTTGATACATGTCATCGATCCCAATTGCGTAGATCGATGCTCATAGATCGATGCTCATGATGTCAAACCCGTGAAGATTCCGGGGTAGAATAGGTCTTCAGCAACCCATGCTTACTGTAAAAGCCGACTATGCTTGTCGTAAAAGGCGACAAACGGGATCGGGTGGTCAGGCTCGCTGACTTGGTTGATACATGTCATCGATCCCAATTGCGAAGATCGATGCTCATGATGTCAATCACTGGATTATTTTACAGACCGCCGTCATATAGCTGGAATATTGTTGAGTGCGGCGTTAAACAACAAACAAACAAACATTGCATTTTTATCTTCCATGCTAGTCATCTTTCTTGCAGACAAACAGTTGTAATTGCTGTAACAATGTAATAGGTGAGGTGAGGTGAAATTGGGTTTAACGTCGCGTCCAAGATTATTGCACTTATATAGCGACGTACATGTACGTGTATGTGTTTGTGTGGCTGATTGTACTAGTCCGGACTGATGCCGATTTATAGTGCTAGCCCACCGTGATAACATGCCGCAGTTTAACATGAATACCCTACTCAGACACAGTATACTGACACCGAGCCGACCAGTCCTTGTTTTAGCCCCTTAATGCCGAGCGCCAGACAGGGTAACAACAAGTACTATCTTGTAACGTCTTTTGGTATGACGCGTCCGGGGATCGAACCCCGAACCTTCCGCTCTCCGGGCGGACGCTAGACCACTAGACCACGGAGGCGGTCCTAACAATGTAATACGGGCGATGGCCTTCGTACACCTGAATGAAGAGAACTGTCATGGCGCATTGCTACAAGGGACATAAAACTCACTCATTGTCACATGACCACATCTGCGTGAAGGCTGTTTATACACTGTAATCAAATTGAGACTTATTGCACCAGCAGGCATGCTCCCGCAGGACTAAAATCTCAAACAACAGCAGGTGCTGCTAACGAAATAAAGTGTTGTATCCTTCCCGTTAACAGTTTACGTTCGAAATTACTTTCTAAAGTGAGTGGATGAGTATGGTTTTACGCCGCTTTTAGCAATATTCCAGCAATATCACGGCGGGGGACACCAGAAAGGGCTTCACACATTGTACCCATGTCGGGAATCGAACCCGAGTCTTCGGCGTGACGAGCGAACGCTTTAACCACTAGGCTACCCCACCGCCCCTACTTTCTGAAGATCAACGTTTAGGTTGTGTTGTTTTTCCCATTGGGATTCCAGGCAGGAATAGATCCCAAGTCATCTGTGTTTGAGGTTTGGGTGATCAGATTCTATGACCTTGCCGACTATCTGTCTTCGTGACCCGGTGGCGTGGAGTGTGTTCATGACGTCAACCTCTGGTTTGTCTGACACAAACTTTATCATTTCCCGGGCTCCGTTGCACAAAGCGATCTTATCACTAAGGTGATCGTAAAACTCGCATATTTTATCATAGGCTTACGATAGTCGAAGCGCTAAGCTCGCTTTGTGCAACGGGGCCCTTGTCGTCATCAATGTTGGACGATTGCTGGATCTGGCGTTACGTAACATTCACAGTCCTTTATGCATTTAGTAAAATACAATGATAAAATGCGAGGAATTAATTCAATTCAAATGAAGCGCTGGGCCAACGAATGTTTACACTGACGGTTTTCTGCTGGAGACGTATTTGATATGGGTATCATCGCTGCTTTTTGGTCTTTAAGTTTGCATTTGTTCGGCGATCGTCTTCAGCCAAGTAACGTTTCGATATGGGTAGTAATGTTTTGGTCAAATCCAACTTTCAAATGTTAACTTTCTTTTGCCCGGGGTTATATTCACTCTCCAAATAGAGTACACTTGTTTGTCTTATTCCGAAGGTTCCATGAGCTTAGCTATGTTGACGTTAAGGCGTACAGAATAATATAAAAACGTCACATTAAAAGGACGATGTTGTCATGTAGTTGGCGTGTGGCCCTCTGGTGTCTATACTGATGTCCATTACACCGGTGTTGTGGCAGTGGCGTGACAGAGGCATAGCTTATACAACAGGTGCCACACACAGTGTCTAGACATCCTCAGGGGGACTCGCTATGGAGCCACCTTGTTCTCTGCTTAACGCGCATGCTTATAGTATAGTTTTACTTTCAGTGGACCAAACTCGGAGCAACCTGGCATTGGGAAAGTGTTGAATTAGAGAGAGCGAGTGTGTGGTTGAGTGTGAGGTTGAGTGTGAGGTTGAGTGAGTGGTTGAGTGAGTAGTAGAGTGAGAGGTTGAGTGAGTAGTAGAGTGAGAGGTTGAGTGAGTAGTAGAGTGAGAGGTTGAGTGAGTAGTAGAGTGAGAGGTTGAGTGAGTGGTTGAGTGAGAGGTTGAGTGAGTAGTAGAGTGAGAGGTTGATCGAGTAGTAGAGTGAGAGGTTGAGTGAGTGGTTGAGTGTGCAGTAGAATGAGAGGTTGAGTGAGTGGTTGAGTGTGAGATTGAGTGAGTAGTAGAGTGAGAGGTTGAGTGAGAAGTAGAGTGAGAGGTTGCGTGAGTAGTAGAGTGAGAGGTTGAGTGAGTAGTAGAGTGAGTGGTTGAGTGTGCAGTAGAGTGAGAGGTTGAGTGAGTGGTTGAGTGTGAGATTGAGTGAGTAGTAGAGTGAGAGGTTGCGTGAGCAGTAGAGTGAGAGGTTGAGTGAGTAGTAGAGTGAGAGGTTGAGTGAGTAGTAGAGTGAGAGGTTGAGTGAGTAGTAGAGTGAGAGGTTTTAGTGAGTAGTAGAGTGAGAGGTTGAGTGAGTGGTAGAGTGAGTGGTTGAGTGAGTAGTAGAGTGAGTGGTTGAGTGAGTGGTTGAATGAGCGAGTGAGTGGTTGAGTGAGTAGTAGAGTGAGAGGTTGAGTGAGTAGTAGAGTGAGAGGTTGAGTGAGTAGTAGAGTGAGAGGTTGAGTGAGTAGTAGAGTGAGAGGTTGAGTGAGTAGTAGAGTGAGAGGTTGAGTGAGTAGTTGAAAGAGAGGTTGAGTGAGTAGTAGAGTGAGAGGTTGAGTGAGTAGTAGAGTGAGAGGTTGAGTGAGTAGTAGAGTGAGAGGTTGAGTGAGTAGTAGAGTGAGTAGTAGAATGTGAGGTTGAGTGAGTAGTAGAGTGAGAGGTTGAGTGAGTAGTAGAGTGAGTAGTAGAGTGTGAGGTTGAGTGAGTAGTAGAGTGAGAGGTTGAGTGAGTAGTAGAGTGAGAGGTTTTAGTGAGTAGTAGAGTGAGAGGTTGAGTGAGTGGTAGAGTGAGTGGTTGAGTGAGTAGTAGAGTGAGTGGTTGAGTGAGTGGTTGAATGAGCGAGTGAGTGGTTGAGTGAGTAGTAGAGTGAGAGGTTGAGTGAGTAGTAGAGTGAGAGGTTGAGTGAGTAGTAGAGTGAGAGGTTGCGTGAGTAGTAGAGTGAGAGGTTGAGTGAGTAGTAGAGTGAGAGGTTGAGTGAGTAGTAGAGTGAGAGGTAGAGAGAGTGGTTGAGTGAGTGGTTGAGTGTGAGATTGAGTGAGTAATAGAGTGATACGTTGAGTGAGTGGTTGAGTGTGAGATTGAGTGAGTGTTAGAATGAGTGGTTGAGTGTGAGGTTGAGTGAGTAGTAGAGTGAGAGAGTGGTTGAGTGAGTGGTTGAGTGTGAGATTGAGTGAGTAGTAAAGTGATACGTTGAGTGAGTGGTTGAGTGAGTTGTAGAGTGAGTGTTAGAATGAGTGGTTGAGTGTGAGGTTGAGTGAGTGGTTGGATGAGCGAATGAGTGGTTGAGTGTGAGGTTGAGTGAGTAGTAGAGGGAGAGGTTGAGTGAGTTGTAGAGTGAGAGGTTGAGTGTGAGGTTGTGTTAGTGATAGAGTGTGAGGTTGTGTTAGTGGTAGCGTGTGAGGTTGTGTTAGTGGTAGAGTGAGTGGCGGAGTTAGAGGTTGTATGAGTGGTTGAATGAGTAGTTGAGTGTGAGGTTGAGTGAGTGATTGGTTGAATGAGCGAGTGTGTGGTTGAGTGTGAGTGAGTGAGTGAGTGGTTGAGTGAGTGGATGAGTGAATGGTTGGGTGAGCGCATGGTTGAGCGGGAATGGAAATGGCCTTCCGAAATTGTTTGTTTGCACATATTTATTGTTCCCTGGTCCAAAAACGTCACCACAGGGCATACACGTGGTGCTGTCATCAGAACTATTGTCGTCACTGTCACACCAGCCATCACAGGGCATAACATGGTGCTGTCATCAGAACTAGTGTCGTCACTGTCACACCAGCCATCACAGGGCATACACGTGGTGCTGTCATCAGAACTCGTGTCGTCACTGTCACACCAGCCATCACAGGGCATACACGTGGTGCTGTAATCAGAACTCGTATCGGCACTGTCACACCAGCAATCACAGGGCCTACACGTTGTACTGTCATCACAACTAGTGTCGTCACTGTCACACCAGCAATCACAGGGCATACACGTGGTGCTGTCATCACAACTAGTGTCGTCACTGTCACACCAGCCATCACAGGGCATACACGTGGTGCTGTAATCAGAACTCGTATCGGCACTGTCACACCAGCAATCACAGGGCATACACGTGGTGCTGCCATCAGAACTATTGTCGTCACTGTCACACCAGCCATCACAGGGCCTACACGCGGTGCTGCCATCAGAACTATTGTCGTCACTGTCACACCAGCCATCACAGGGCATACACGTGGTGCTGTCATCACAACTAGTGTCGTCACTCTCACACCAGCCATCACAGGGCACACACGTGGTGCTGTCATCACAACTAGTGTCGTCACTGTCACACCAGCCATCACAGGGCATACACGTGGTGCTGCCATCACAACTAGTGTCGTCACTGTCACACCAGCCATCACAGGGCATACACGTGGTGCTGTCATCAGAACTCGTGTCGTCACTGTCACACCAGCCATCACAGGGCATACACGTGGTGCTGTAATCAGAACTCGTATCGGCACTGTCACACCAGCAATCACAGGGCATACACGTGGTGCTGCCATCAGAACTATTGTCGTCACTGTCACACCAGCCATCACAGGGCATACACGTGGTGCTGTCATCACAACTAGTGTCGTCACTGTCACACCAGCAATCACAGGGCATACACGTGGTGCTGTCATCACAACTAGTGTCGTCACTCTCACACCAGCCATCACAGGGCACACACGTGGTGCTGTCATCAGAACTAGTGTCGTCACTGTCACACCAGCCATCACAGGGCATACACGTGGTGCTGTCATCACAACTAGTGTCGTCACTGTCACACCAGCCATCACAGGGCATACACGTGGTGCTGTCATCAGAACTATTGTCGTCACTGTCACACCAGCCATCACAGGGCATACACGTGGTGCTGCCATCAGAACTCGTATCAGCACTGTCACACCAGCAATCACAGGGCATACACTTGGTGCTGCCATCAGAACTATTGTCGTCACTGTCACACCAGCCATCACAGGGCATACACGTGGTTCTGTCATCACAACTATTGTCGTCACTGTCACACCAGCCATCACATGGCATACACGTTTTGCTGTCATCACAACTAGTGTCGTCACTGTCACACCAGCCATCACAGGGCATACACGTTGTGCTGTCATCACAACTAGTGTCGTCACTGTCACACCAGCCATCACAGTGCATACACGTGGTGCTGTCATCACAACTAGTGTCGTCACTGTCACACCAGCCATTAGAGGGCCTACACGTGATGCTGCCATCACAACTAGTGTCGTCACTGTCACACCAGCCATCACAGGGCATAAACGTGGTGCTGTCATCACAACTAGTGTCGTCACTGTCACACCAGCCATCACAGGGCCTACACGTAGTGCTGTCATCACAACTAGTGTCGTCACTGTCACACCAGCCATCACAGGGCATACACGTGGTGCTGTCATCACAACTAGTGTCGTCACTGTCACACCAGCCATCACAGGGCATACACGTGGTGCTGCCATCACAACTAGTGTCGTCACTGTCACACCAGCCATCACAGGGCATACACGTGGTGCTGTCATCAGAACTAGTGTCGTCACTGTCACACCAGCCATCACAGGGCATAAACGTGGTGCTGTCATCAGAACTCGTGTCGTCACAGTCACACCAGCCATCACAGGGCATACACGTGGTGCTGTCATCACAACTAGTGTCGTCACTGTCACACCAGCCATCACAGGGCATACACGTTGTGCTGCCATCAGAACTAGTGTCGTCACTGTCACGCCAGCCATCACAGGGCATACACGTGGTGCTGTCATCAGAACTATTGTCGTCACTGTCACACCAGCCATCACAGGGCATACACGTGGTGCTGTCATCAGAACTCGTGTGGTCACTGTCACACCAGCCATCACAGGGCATACACGTGGTGCTGTCATCAGAACTCGTATCGGCACTGTCACACCAGCCATCACAGGGCATACACGTGGTGCTGTCATCACAACTAGTGTCGTCACTGTCACGCCAGCCATTAGAGGGCCTACACGTGATGCTGCCATCAGAACTAGTGTCGTCACTGTCACACCAGCCATCACAGGGCATACACGTGGTGCTGTCATCAGAACTATTGTCGTCACTGTCACACCAGCCATCACAGGGCATGCACGTGGTGCTGTCATCAGAACTCGTGTCGTCACTGTCACACAAGCCATCACAGGGCATACACGTGGTGCTGCCATCAGAACTCGTATCGGCACTGTCACACCAGCCATCACAGGGCTTACACTTGGTGCAGCCATCAGAACTATTGTCGTCACTGTCACGCCAGCCATCACAGGGCATCACGTGGTGCTGTCATCACAACTATTGTCGTCACTGTCACACCAGCCATCACAGGGCATACACGTTGTGCTGTCATCACAACTAGTGTCGTCACTGTCACACCAGCCATCACAGGGCATACACGTGGTGCTGTCATCACAACTAGTGTCGTCACTGTCACACCAGCCATCACAGGGCATACACGTGGTGCTGTAATCAGAACTCGTATCGGCACTGTCACACCAGCAATCACAGGGCATACACGCGGTGCTGCCATCAGAACTAGTGTCGTCACTGTCACACCAGCCATCACAGGGCATACACGTGGTGCTGTCATCACAACTATTATCGTCACTGTCACACCAGCCATCGCAGGGCCTACACGTTGTACTGTCATCACAACTAGTGTCGTCACTGTCACACCAGCAATCACAGGGCATACACGTGGTGCTGTCATCACAACTAGTGTCGTCACTGTCACACCAGCCATCACAGGGCCTACACGCGGTGCTGTCATCACAACTAGTGTCGTCACTGTCACACCAGCCATTAGAGGGCCTACACGTGATGCTGCCATCACAACTAGTGTCGTCACTGTCACACCAGCCATTAGAGGGCCTACACGTGGTGCTGCCATCACAACTAGTGTCGTCACTGTCACACCAGCCATCACAGGGCATACACGTGGTGCTGTCATCAGAACTATTGTCGTCACTGTCACACCAGCCATCACTGGGCATACACGTGGTGCTGCCATCAGAACTCGTATCGGCACTGTCACACCAGCAATCACAGGGCATACACTTGGTGCTGCCATCAGAACTATTGTCGTCACTGTCACACCAGCCATCACAGGGCATACACGTGGTTCTGTCATCACAACTATTGTCGTCACTGTCACACCAGCCATCACATGGCATACACGTTTTGCTGTCATCACAACTAGTGTCGTCACTGTCACACCAGCCATCACAGGGCATACACGTGGTGCTGTCATCACAACTAGTGTCGTCACTGTCACACCAGCCGTCACAGGGCATACACGTGGTGCTGTCATCACAACTAGTGTCGTCACTGTCACACCAGCAATTAGAGGGCCTACACGTGATGCTGCCATCACAACTAGTGTCGTCACTGTCACACCAGCCATCACAGGGCATACACGTGGTGCTGTCATCAGAACTATTGTCGTCACTGTCACACCAGCCATCACAGGGCCTACACGTAGTGCTGTCATCACAACTAGTGTCGTCACTGTCACACCAGCCATCACAGGGCATACACGTGGTGCTGTCATCACAACTAGTGTCGTCACTGTCACACCAGCCATCACAGGGCATACACGTTGTGCTGCCATCAGAACTAGTGTCGTCACTGTCACGCCAGCCATCACAGGGCATACACGTGGTGCTGTCATCAGAACTATTGTCGTCACTGTCACACCAGCCATCACAGGGCATACACGTGGTGCTGTCATCAGAACTCGTGTCGTCACTGTCACACCAGCCATCACAGGGCATACACGTGGTGCTGTCATCAGAACTCGTATCGGCACTGTCACACCAGCCATCACAGGGCATACACTTGGTGCTGTCATCACAACTAGTGTCGTCACTGTCACACCAGCCATCACAGGGCATACACGTGGTGCTGTCATCACAACTAGTGTCGTCACTGTCACACCAGCCGTCACAGGGCATACACGTGGTGCTGTCATCACAACTAGTGTCGTCACTGTCACACCAGCCATTAGAGGGCCTACACGTGATGCTGCCATCACAACTAGTGTCGTCACTGTCACACCAGCCATCACAGGGCATACACGTGGTGCTGTCATCAGAACTATTGTCGTCACTGTCACACCAGCCATCACAGGGCCTACACGTAGTGCTGTCATCACATCTAGTGTCGTCACTGTCACACCAGCCATCACAGGGCATACACGTGGTGCTGTCATCACAACTAGTGTCGTCACTGTCACACCAGCCATCACAGGGCATACACGTTGTGCTGCCATCAGAACTAGTGTCGTCACTGTCACGCCAGCCATCACAGGGCATACACGTGGTGCTGTCATCAGAACTATTGTCGTCACTGTCACACCAGCCATCACAGGGCATACACGTGGTGCTGTCATCAGAACTCGTGTCGTCACTGTCACACCAGCCATCACAGGGCATACACGTGGTGCTGTCATCAGAACTCGTATCGGCACTGTCACACCAGCCATCACAGGGCATACACTTGGTGCTGTCATCAGAACTATTGTCGTCACTGTCACGCCAGCCATCACAGGGCATACACGTGGTGCTGTCATCACAACTATTGTCGTCACTGTCACACAAGCCATCACAGGGCATACACGTGGTGCTGTTATCAGAACTCGTATCGGCACTGTCACACCAGCAATCACAGGGCATACACGTGGTGCTAGCATCAGAACTATTGTCGTCACTGTCACACCAGCCATCACAGGGCATACACGTGGTGCTGTCATCACAACTATTGTCGTCACTGTCACACCAGCCATCACAGGGCCTACACGTTGTACTGTCATCACAACTAGTGTCGTCACTGTCACACCAGCAATCACAGGGCCTACACGTGGTGCTGTCATCACAACTAGTGTCGTCACTGTCACACCAGCCATCACAGGGCATACACGTGGTGCTGTCATCACAACTAGTGTCGTCACTGTCACGCCAGCCATTAGAGGGCCTACACGTGATGCTGTCATCACAACTAGTGTCGTCACTGTCACACCAGCCATCACAGGGCATACACGTGGTGCTGTCATCAGAACTATTGTCGTCACTGTCACACCAGCCATCACAGGGCATGCACGTGGTGCTGTCATCAGAACTCGTGTCGTCACTGTCACACCAGCAATCACAGGGCATACACGCGGTGCTGCCATCAGAACTATTGTCGTCACTGTCACACCAGCCATCACAGGGCATACACGTGGTGCAGCCATCAGAACTATTGTCGTCACTGTCACGCCAGCCATCACAGGGCATACACGTGGTGCTGTCATCACAACTATTGTCGTCACTGTCACACCAGCCATCACAGGGCATACACGTTGTGCTGTCATCACAACTAGTGTCGTCACTGTCACACCAGCCATCACAGGGCATACACGTGGTGCTGTCATCCCAACTAGTGTCGTCACTGTCACACCAGCCATCACAGGGCATACACGTGGTGCTGTAATCAGAACTCGTATCGGCACTGTCACACCAGCAATCACAGGGCATACACGCGGTGCTGTCATCAGAACTATTGTCGTCACTGTCACACCAGCCATCACAGGGCATACACGTGGTGCTGTCATCACAACTATTGTCGTCACTGTCACACCAGCCATCACAGGGCCTACACGTTGTACTGTCATCACAACTAGTGTCGTCACTGTCACACCAGCAATCACAGGGCATACACGTGGTGCTGTCATCAGAACTAGTGTCGTCACTGTCACACCAGCCATCACAGGGCCTACACGCGGTGCTGTCATCACAACTAGTGTCGTCACTGTCACACCAGCCATTAGAGGGCCTACACGTGATGCTGCCATCACAACTAGTGTCGTCACTGTCACACCAGCCATCACAGGGCATACACGTGGTGCTGCCATCACAACTAGTGTCGTCACTGTCACACCAGCCATCACAGGGCCTACACGTGGTGCTGTCATCAGAACTAGTGTCGTCACTGTCACACCAGCCATCACAGGGCATACACGTGGTGCTGCCATCACAACTAGTGTCGTCACTGTCACACCAGCCATCACAGGGCATACACGTGGTGCTGTCATCACAACTAGTGTCGTCACTTTCACACCAGCCATCACAGGGCATACACGTGGTGCTGCCATCACAACTAGTGTCGTCACTGTCACACCAGCCATCACAGGGCCTACACGTGGTGCTGTCATCACAACTAGTGTCGTCACTGTCACACCAGCCATCACAGGGCATACACGTGGTGCTGCCATCACAACTAGTGTCGTCACTGTCACACCAGCCATCACAGGGCCTACACGTGGTGCTGTCATCACAACTATTGTCGTCACTGTCACACCAGCCATCACAGGGCCTACACTTGATGCTGTCATCACAACTAGTGTCGTCACTGTCACGCCAGCCATCACAGGGCATACACGTGGTGCTGCCATCACAACTAGTGTCATCACTGTCACACCAGCCATCACAGGGCATACACGTGGTGCTGCCATCAGAACTAGTGTCGTCACTGTCACACCAGCCATCACAGGGCATACACGTGGTGCTGCCATCACAACTAGTGTCGTCACTGTCACACCAGCCATCACAGGGCATACACGTTGTGCTGTCATCAGAACTATTGTCGTCACTGTCACACCAGCCATCACAGGGCCTACACGCGGTGCTGCCATCACAACTAGTGTCGTCACTGTCACACCAGCCATCACAGGGCATACACGTGGTGCTGTCATCAGAACTAGTGTCGTCACTGTCACACCAGCCATCACAGGGCATACACGTGGTGCTGTCATCAGAACTAGTGTCGTCACTGTCACACCAGTCACCACAGGGCCTACACGTGGTGCTGCCATCAGAACTAGTGTCGTCACTGTCACACCAGTCACCACAGGGCCTACACGTGGTGCTGCCCTCAGAACTAGTGTCGTCACTGTCACACCAGTCACCACAGGGCCTACACGTGGTGCTGCCATCAGAACTAGTGTCGTCACTGTCACACCAGCCATCACAGGGCATACACGTGGTGCTGTCATCAGAACTAGTGTCGTCACTGTCACACCAGTCACCACAGGGCCTACACGTGGTGCTGCCATCAGAACTAGTGTCGTCACTGTCACACCAGTCACCACAGGGCCTACACGTGGTGCTGCCATCAGAACTAGTGTCGTCACTGTCACACCAGCCATCACAGGGCATACACGTGGTGCTGTTATCACAACTAGTGTCGTCACTGTCACACCAGCCATCACAGGGCATACACGTGGTGCTGTCATCAGAACTATTGTCCTCACTGTCACACTAGCCATCACAGGGCACACACGTGGTGCTGTCATCAGAGTTGTTGTCGTCACTGTCACACCAGCCATCACAGGGCATACACGTGGTGCTGACATCAGAACTATTGTTGTCACTGTCACTAGTTCTGCTTTTAAAATCACCAGTCATAAGTATGTCACACTCATAATTAAAATATATCTCATTTAATGTTGCTTCCAGATGGCCAAGGCTATATATATATATATATGTCTACCTTATTATACACAGAATATAAGAAATGTAAACAAATCCAAATATGAAATACGTATCTAAACCAAAATATACACTGCCAAGTAATAATTAAACTGCATCATGAACATGTGAAAATATTCTGTTAACACCAGTGGATATAGATTTCAGCACATACACACCTCCTCTTCCATGCTTACCCTTTTGTCTACATGCCAGTATAGTTTTACGCCGCGTTTTGCAATATTCCGGAAATATCACGGCGGGGGACACCAGTATTGGGCTTCTTTACACATTGCACCCATGTCGGGAATCGAACCCGGGTCTTTGGCGTGACGATCGAACGCTTTAACCACTAGGCTACCCGACCGCCCCTACATGAAGTGAACACCTTTTGGGTGGATTATAGCAGAGAATAGTCTAGAGGTGTATTCAACCAACATTCAACAAACCAACTAGCATGTTATTATTTCAATGTGTCAAGCGGAGATATATTTGCTGAATGTCTTTCAATTCATTGACAGTTCCATAATGATACATTTAACTTCTTTATTAACACGTTATTTCTGCTGCTAGGGCCATTAAGTATTATGTCCTAATAGTATCTTATCCTTGTACGGTAGGCGGTCTGTACACTAGCGTCATATAATATACTTGGCATAAATGCTTTGTCACGCAGCAGGAAAGCTTCATTTCCACTTTGACCGCCTCCGTGGTCTAGTGGTAGAGCGTCCACCCGGAGAGCGAAAGGTCCGGGGTTCGATCCCCGGCCCCGTCATACCACAAGACGTTAAAAGATGGTACTTGTTGTTACCCTGTCTGGCGCTCGACATTAAGGGGCTAAAACAAGGACTGGTCGGCTCGGAGTCAGTATACTGTGTCTGAGTGGGGTATTCATGTTAAACTGCGACATACTATCCCAGTGAGCTAGCACTATAAATCGGCATCAGTCCAGGCTCGTACAAGCAGCCACACACACACGTCGCTATGTAAGTGCAACAATCTTGGACGCGACGTTAAACCCAATTTCACCTCACCTCATTTCCATTTACTGTGACCTTCACCATGTTTCTTGCTCTTCTCTCTCACTGAATCTCAAATCCTCACTGGCCTTCACACCAGACTGCTTCAGGGGGCGCGGGTGGCCCAGTCGTCTAAGGCGCCGCGATTCGCTGTGCAGAGTTGCGTCCCTTGGGCACGCCAGAAACCTATGATTGTGGGTTCGAATCCAGGTTCGCCCTGATTATGTTTCTAGGTTTGTCAGCACCATACCCGTGCTCGTGGGTTTCACCGAAGTGGTAAACGTCTGACACCTGTATCACTTCGGGCTTTCCTCCCACATTAAGCTGACACGCCGTGATATAACTGGAATACTGTTAAAAGCGGAGTTAAACCCAACTCACTCACTCACCCAGACTGCTTCAGCTTGTTTCTAGCTGTGTAGAGGGCGCCACTCCGGTCACACCCCACTGCAATGGGGCGTAGCTTCCCTCCTTCTCTCCGACTCTAGTGGCTCGCTCTTTTCCAGCGTTAGCATAAGCGTCCTTCACGTGCAGCTTATCAACTACAGTAAACTACGTTTATAACGAAGTGGCCGATATAACGAACTTTGTTTTTAGTCCCGACCATTTGTGGTACATATGCTGTATGTATGCTTATAACGAACTACGGTTATTACGAACTAAAATGAGTGGTCCCCTCGAGTTCGTTATAACCGTATTTTACTGTCGTACTTCCATCACTACCATTTCACAATCGTCCCACAATTCCCCCACCTCACCAGTCTTCTCAGGGATACCATATACCACGATTATACCTCTTCTTGAACGATTTTCTAAGTCGTCAGTCTTGTTTAAGAGATCTGTGGTTTTGAGTCAGTCAGAGCTTCAACTTGTCCTTCACTTAACAAGTTCCCCTTGAAGACCTCTAACAATCTCTACTACTCTCCACGTTGAATCCCAACCCGCTGATTGGCTTGGAGCTGCATGGCACCGCACTCGGAAAGCCTCGGCTGACATTCCGGACATCACCGATCACAACAGTATCTGACCATGATACAGAAAGAGATGTTACATGTAGATATTTCCGGCAGATCAGTATGGTAGTTCGGGGACTACTGAAATAAAGAAGGATGGTGTAAAATAAGGTTACCACTTGATGGACGACAACAAAACATATTGTACTGGCGTGTTAGTTCTGGAAATAATTACTTATGTAAAATAAATTATCGATGTAAATATTTTTTATCAAAACCGGCCGTCCTGTTGTTCGAAATCGAGGATCGGTCGGTATAATGTTTCAAGTGTACCCAAATGCTTAATCGAGAACCCGTGAAGATCCAGGTGAGAATAGGGCTTCAGCAACCCATGATTTCTTGCCGTAAAAGGCGACTATGCTTGTCGTTAGAGGCGACTAACGGGATCGGATGGTCAGACTCGCTGACTTGGTGATGCATGTGATCGTATCCCAATTTCGTAGATCGATGCTCATGATGTCAATCACTGGATTGTCTGGTCCAGACTCGATTATTCACAGACCCCCGTCATACAGCTGGAATATTGCTGAGTGCGGCGTTACATATCAAACAAACAAACAAACAAACAAACGAAAGCTTTATCGAGAATCTCAGAAGTGAAAAAAAAACCATATTAGGACCTCTTGTCCCCAGCAAGTCATTAAGTACACATTTTATGTCAGACGGTACAGAGGCGCACCCCTACCTTCCAAACTGTTGGTTATCAAAACAACTTCACCCACGTCTGAGGAAAGTGGGACGCTCTGTGGGGATGATAGGTGAGCTGCCTTCACCCTGCTAGTGTTCGGATAGAATGAAGATAGTTCTGTATTTAATAAGAATTGCTTCTTAGAATGAACATTATTCGTTTTCTTATATATAAACACGACACGGACGTGTCGGAATTTAATTTACAGTCTTAGGACAATTAGGACACAATAACTTCAGCTTTAGTGAATAAAATACAAACATCTATAAGTACGGAGATGGTCCTGTGCTTTCTTGATGCTGAGATAGCTGGGATGTAGTCTGTAGCCTGGCTGCTCGCCTAAATTAAAGTATGATTACCTGTAACCCCTTTACCCTATGTTGTTACACCGTTCCAGAAGTTGGAGTAAGTTCGTACAGTTGTATTCACGAGGACATATGAAAGAGACCACCGATATAGCTGTGTAAAGAGCCCTTTTTGAAATAAAAACATTAAATGAAATCGGAATTAGTGCGAGAAGCTTGGTTAATGTAATTTGGTGAATCGAGAGGAGATGCAAAAACAAGCAAGTCCTTGCAATCACAAGAACCCTGTCAGAATAATCACAGCCACTCAAACAGACCGTATGTTGGACAATGCCATGCCTAGGGTCTCTCCGTCTATCGTGATACATTCATTTGGACCACAATGACCCAAAGAACAATGACAGCAAGGGGACATTAGCGTCTGAAGGGAATTAATCTTCTTGACTATTCAATACACCAGACTCGGTGTATAGGCGCCAACAACGCGTGACATCCGATTTAGTGTTCACTGATAATACCACGCATACACACACCTTTGGGAATAATTAATCGTCGCTATCTGTGTATAAAATAGCCATGTAAACGTATCATATGTTTATTTTCTGACAAAAGTAATTTGTTTTTGTTTATTAAGTGACAAACGTATTGGGAATGCATGAATCGATCACCTAATGACGTTTCGTAACTATGGCAACATTGGTTTGATATCTCTTCTCCAGTCCTTCCTATCATATGACCTAGCGGCCATCGTGAGGAACAAGATTGTTGCACTTATATAGCGATGTGCGTGCGTGCGTGCGTGCGTGCGCGCGTGCGTGCGTGCGTGCGTGCGTGCGTGCGTGCGTGAGTGAGTGGGTGGTCAGGTGAGTTAACACTTAACGTCGCATCGACATTATTTCATCTATATAGCGACGGCAACAAGTTTATATATATATATATATATATATATATACAATTGAGTCATGAATACAAAATTATATTTAAGAACGAATTTGTCAAAAGTATTTTGCCATAACAATAGTATCTACAACTGTTTAAATAAAGCAATAAACTAATAAAGAAACCAAAGCTAAGCCATTGGTCTCCAAGTACCAGACTAATCGATTGTTGACCATGCGCTCCATGGTGTTACAAAACACAGCCAGGTAATAATATGGAACGGTAATTGGGTGGATCAGTATGATCACGGCCAGGCTTTGGTATAGGAATGACAATAGCATCATGCCACGAAGGAGGAACATTTTCGGTTGGCCACATTTCATCAAATATATTAAGCAGCGTTTCCAAACATGAACGGGACGGTCGGGTAGCCTAGTGGTTAAAGCGTTCGCTTGTCACGCCGAAAACCCGGGTTCGATTCCCGACATGGGTACAATGTGTGAAGCCCATTTCTGGTGTTCCCCGCCGTGATATTGCTGGAATATTGCTAAAAGCGGCGTAAAACCATACTCACTCACTCACCACCACCACCGTCCACCCATCCCAGTTATCTACCAAGGACTGACGAGAAATGCTGCCCGACGTACAACTTCTCTGACAACTGGGTAGTGACCCATTCAGCCAATCACCGGAGTAATGAAGAAACGGCGTTGGGGTATGTCGACACAATTTTAGAGCCCTTCACGAAGTGAAGAAAGAACTTCCTCTACCAGCCCGGCAGAAATCTCTCACGATCTTCGATGTTTTTGCCACTCACAGGTACCAGACCTTCATTGAACAACTG